CTCTCTCTGGCAGACCCCTCTAGGGGTCCAGTCCGTGCGACCTCCACCACTGTCCTCCCTTGTCCTGCTGTCCCGTCCGGCACACTATCGGGTCTTTACCTCCTCTAGTTCTCTACGAACTTGGTGGCGGGTTCTGCGCTCCAGGACGCGGGTGTTCACCAGTTCACCCCTGCCTACGAGCGTGTGACACACTGCACGTGTGCTCAGACGGGTCGTCACTTGGCTACCTTCACTCGGCAGCCGGGGTCGGGCTTGTACACACTGACCACTGAGTCCCCTCAGGTAGCAGCGTTTGCGTTTGCGTCAGGTCAGTTGTCGGCCCCCTGCTCGTGTCGCGCCTTGTCGCACCAGACCCTCCTTTGGCACCACCGCCTTGGTCACCCCTCGGTGCAGCGCCTTCGCAGCATGCACCGCCGTGTCCTTGTCTCTGGTCTTCCCACGGTTCTCCCTCCCCTCCCACCCTCGCCTGCTCCTCCCTGTCTTCCCTGTGTCGAGGGGCGGCAGCGCGCCGCTCCTCACTCCTCCTCGTTCCCTCCCACAGAGGCTCCTCTACAGACTCTCCACCTGGACGTGTGGGGCCCAGCCCACGTCCGTGGACAGGGCCACAAGCGGTACTTCCTGGTGGTCGTCGACGACTACACGCGTTACACCACGGTCTTCCCCTTGCGCACCAAGGGTGAGGTCCCTGATGTTTTGATCCCTTGGATCCGCGCTGCTCGTCTCCAGCTCCACGAGCGGTTCGGGACGGAGTTTCCCGTCTGCACTCTGACAGAGGTGGGGAGTTTTCCTCCGACCTCTTGGCAGCCTTCTGTGCGGAGCACGGCATCCGCCAGACGTTTACACTTCCGGCCTCTCCGCAGCATAATGGGGTTGCTGAGCGCCGCATTGGCTTTGTCATGGAGGTCGCTCGTACCTCCATGATCCATGCGGCTGCCCCCCATTTTCTGTGGCCGTTTGCGGTCCGGTACGCCGCGCATCAGCTCAATCTCTGGCCCCGTGTCTCCTTGCCGGAGACCTCGCCCACACTGCTGTGGACGGGGAAGGTTGGCGATGCGTCGCGTTTCCGGGTCTGGGGTGCTCGTGCCTTTGTCCGCGATACCACCGCGGACAAGCTCTCTGCCTGCGCTATTACCTGTGTCTTTCTTGGCTTTGTCCCTGACGCGCCCGGTTGGCAGTTTTACCGCCCCACCTCGCGCCATGTCTTCCCCTCTCAGGACGTCACATTCGACGAGTCGATTCCCTTTCACCGTCTCTTCCCCTACCGCACTGCCCCTCTCCCCCCCCGGCCGCTCTTCCTCACTCCAGGTGCTCCCCAGGTAGACCCCAACCCCGCTCCCGGTCCTGCTCCTTCAGGTGTGTCTCAGGTAGACCCTCCTCCCTTGCCTGCGCCAGTTGAGGTCACTGGTGACCCAGGTCCTGCTCGGGGTGCTGCTTCTGGGGGTGCTGAGCCTGGGGGTGCGGAGCCTGGGGGTGCGGAGCCAGGGGGTGCGGAGACTGGAGGTGCAGAGCCTGGGCGTGAGGAGTCTGGGGGTGCTGAGCCTGGGGGTACTGAGTCTGGGGGTGCTGCACCTGGGGGCGCTGAGGCGTCTGGTGAGCAGTCTCCCTGGGGCGGCCGTCTCCGTAGTCGCTCCGCTGGTACATCGCGGCTGCACTCTCGTCGTCGACTCCCTCTCTCCCCACAGCAGTTGCGTGAGTGGTACGCTGACCGTCAGGGTCACGCTGCTGGAGCTAGGGGCCCTGCTGCGGGAGGCGCTGGAGCTGGTGACTCTGCTACTGGAGTTGTTTCTGCTGGATGTTCTAGAGCTACAGCGGGTGCTAGAGCTGGAGGTTCTGGAGCTGCTGAGGGTGCTGGAGCTGGAGGCTCTGGGGCTGCTGAGGGTGCTGGAGCTGGAGTTTGTGGAGCTACTGCGGGTGCTGGCGCTAGAGGGTCTGGAGCTGCTGCGGGTGCTGGCGCTGAGGGTTCTGAGTCTGTTGTTGTGCGGTCTCCTTGGAGTAGCCGCCTTCGTCCGCGTGTGCCTCTCACCTCACAGCAGCAGCACGACTGGTACGGTCGCCGTCAGGGTCGCGCTTCTGGAGCTCGGGGCTCTGCCGCTAGAGGTACTTCTGCTGGCGTCACTGGAGCTGGGAGTGGTGCTGGTCCCGGAGGTGCTCGTACTGGAGGTACTGGAGCTGCTGGGGCTGGAGGTGCTGAGCCTGAGGGTGCTGCTGCAGGAGGTACTGAGTCTGGGGGTGCTGGTGTTGGAGACACTGAGGCTGGAGTCCCTGGGACTAGAGGTGCTGGTGCTGAGGGTGCTGCTGCTGGTGGAGCTGGTCCTGGAGGAGCTGGCGCTGAGGGTTCTGGAGCTGTTGGAGGTGCTAAAGCTGCTGGGGGTACTGGAGCTGGTGGTGGTGGTGGCACTGCACAGCCGCGCCTGTTCTTTGCTCCTTCGTCTCCGTCGTCTCACCCATCGCCTGACTCTGTGCATCACCAGGTTCTTAGTCTCCCTTCGTCTACTGGTCTTCCGTTACACCCTGGCTCACCACTGCCTGCTCCTTCTCCTTACACTGAGCACACAGGGGGTCTTACTGAGCGTCGTGAGCCAGCGTCGCGTCCTGTCTCGCCTGTCTGTCCTGGTCGTGTTCCTCGTTCGCGTCTACCGGCTGTCTCCGGCACCCACCTCGTCGTCCGTCGTCCTTCCTCTCCTCCGCAGCGTGTTCCCCTGCTGTCCCCTCCTGCGTCTTCTCTGCCTACCGTTCCTGAGCCTGAGTCTGACCTCACCTATGCTGCTCATTCTACCGTCACGCGTCTGCTAGCCACAATTGTCACTGACCCGTCGTTTGAGTCTGCTGCTGCCTCTGCCTTCGTCGCTGAGCTTGTTGACTTTGCTGCTGCCTGTCGTCTAGACTACGCCGCTAGTCTTGTTGCTGAGTCTGATTTTGTCTGTCCTCCGTCCGTCGGGGGTAAGTGTGCTCTTGGCACGGACGTCCTTGAGGACAGGCAGGAGGACCTGGAGTGTCTTGCAGCCGCTGCGCCTCATCTCGTGTCCATGCTGCTTGCCCCTGAGGGAGACCTGGATGCTCCAAACATCCCGACCTCGCGCTCTTACGCTGAGGCGATCACGGGTGAGTACTCCTCTCAGTGGCAGACAGCCATGGACGCAGAGATGGTATCCTGGAAGTCCACAGGCACTTACGCCAACGAGGTTCCCCCTCCTGGGGCGAACATGGTCAGTGGCATGTGAATTTTCATGGTGAAGCGGCCGCCAGGTTCTCCGCCTGTCTTCAAGGCTCGTTACGTTGCACGAGGTTTCAGTCAGCGAGAGGGAGTATACTTCTTTGAGACCTTCTCCCCCACCCCGAAGATGACCACTCTTCGGGTACTGCTGCACGTTGCCGCTCAGCATGACTACGAGCTTCACTCTCTTGACTTCAACACAGCTTTCTTGCAGGGCAGTCTGCACGAGGAGATCTGGCTGCGCCGCCCTCCTGGCTTCACTGGGTCGTTCCCTCCTGGTACCCAGTGGAGCCTCCGGCGGCCGGTCTACGGTCTCCGCCAGGCGCCACGTGAGTGGCACGACACATTGAGGACTACACTTTCTGCTCTTGGGTTTGCTCCGTCGACTGCTGATCCGTCGCTGTTTCTGCGCACCGACACTTCGCTGCCGCCGTTGTACATCCTCGTGTAGGTCGACGACTTGGTCTTTGCCACTGCTGACACTGAGGCTCTTGGTCTGGTGAAGTCAGAGCTGCAGAAGAGACACACGTGCACAGACCTGGGTGAGCTGCGCAGTTACCTTGGCTTGCAGATCACCCGAGACAGAGCACGCCGCACCATCACACTGACTTAGTCACACATGGTGCAACAGGTCCTTCAGCGCTTCGGTTTCTCCTGGTCCTCGGCACTCGCCACTCCTCTGGCTACAGATTTCTCGCTCTCAGCTCCACCTTCGGACGAGTCCGTAGAGCCAAGTGGTCCTTACCCAGAGCTAGTGGGCTGCCTCATGTACCTGATGACCTGCACTGGTCCTGACCTTGCGTACCCTCTTGGCCTTTTGGCTCGCTACGTGGCTCCTGGTTGGCACCGAAAGGTGCACATGGATGCTGCTAAGAGGGTACTACGCTACTTGTGCAGTACATCAGGCATGGGGCTCGTGCTTGGAGGACGGAGCGACGTTGTCCTCACTGGGCACTCAGACGCTTCTTGGGTTGACGACCAGGCTACGCAGCGGTCGTCACAGGGTTACACCTTCAGCCTTGGCTCTGGTTCAGTTTCTTGGCGTTCTACACGCTCGTCTTTTGTTCTCAACTCCAGGTGTGAGGCTGAGATCTACGCCACAGCCATGGCTGCACAGGAGTTACGCTGGCTCACCTACCTGCTGACCGACCTGGGAGAGTGGCCTCGTTCTCCTCCAGTTCTGTACGTAGACAACAAGGCCACCATTGCCTTGTGTCAGGAGCACAGACTGGAGCACAAAACGAAGCACATCGCTCTGCGTTACTTCCTAGCTCGAGAGTTGCAGCAGTGGGGTCAGCTTCGCCTTGCTCACGTGGCCACTCGGGCCAACACTGCTGATATATTCACCAAGGCACTTCCGTCTGGTGACCATCAGCGCTTTTGTACTTTGTTGGGCCTTGTGCCTACGTTTCCACACTTGCTGTAGTCTCTGCTTGTACTGTGATCTATATATATATACCTGCATGGTTGCTCTTGCTAGGTAGAGATAAGTGTGCTGTTCTTGTTGCTTATATACCTCTGCATGTGGACTGGCCTTGTGGCCGTTTGCTTGTGCTCAGTGTGTGTGGTGACGTTGTGATCCACCCTCAGCTGTGTTTTGTTTCTTCTGTTGATTGGTCTTGTGACCATTGCTTGCTCTGGCTATCCCCCATTTCGCCTATGGGGGTGTGTCAAAACATATGCATATTAGTATCTAGGCTATATTGGGGCTAGCCTTAGGGGGTACAGAAACATTCTTGACACTCTAGTCTTGTACCCCAACCTTGATCTAATGACACACAACTTCATGGCTAAGATTCTAAGACCACAGTGCCGTGAGTGGAAGTGAACGTGGAGGTGAGAGCGAAAGTGGAACTGGAAGTGAAAGTGGAACTGGAAGTGAAAGTGGAACTGGAAGTGAAAGTGGAACTGGAAGTGAAAGTGGAAAGTGGATCTGGAAGTGGAAAGTGGAACTGGAAGTGAAAGTGGAACTAGAAGTGAAAGTGGAACTGGAAGTGAAAGTGGAACTGGAAGTGCAAGTGGAACTGGAAGTGAAAGTGGAACTGGAAGTGAAATTGGAACTGGAAGTGAAAGTGGAACTGGAAGTGAAAGTGGAACTGGAAGTGAAAGTGGAACTGGAAGTGCAGCACTCTCCTCATCAGCACACCCCTCGTTTCCATCGACGTCCTCTGCGTTCTCTTCCAGTTCTCCTCCTGCCTCTGCCCGCCCCTCGCCTCCCCACTGCCTGCTCTTCTCCCCTGCCGACCTAGCCACTACCACTAACGGGTTTGCCCAGGAGAACTTTATCGTGAATGGGGAGCATGGCTCCCTGTATTATGGGCGGCCGGATCCGACCCATTACACCGCGACAGCTGGCGGCGAAGAACTTGCAACTGGCGAGCAGCAGCATGCGAGTAGCTCCTGTGGGAGCAGTGATGGTGAGAGGGAGGGCAAGCCGGGTGAGAGCAGCCGTGGGGGCACGCTGCACGATGAAAGCAGTGATGGTGAGAGGGAGGGCAAGCCGAGTGAGAGCAGCCGTGGGGGCACGCTGCACGATGAAAGCAGTGATGGTGAGAGGGAGGGCAAGCCGGGTGAGAGCAGCAATGGGGGCACGCTGCACGATGAAAGCAGTGATGGTGAGAGGGAGGGCAAGCCGGGTGAGAGCAGCCGTGGGGGCACGCTGCACGATGAAAGCAGTGAATGGTGAGAGGGAGGGCAAGCCGGGTGAGAGCAGCCGTGGGGGCACGCTGCACGATGAAAGTAGTGAATCGTGAGAGGGAGGGCAAGCAGGGTGAGAGCAGCCGTGAGGGCACGCTGCACGATGAAAGTAGTGATGGTGAGAGGGAGGGCAAGCAGGGCATGGAGGAGGAGGTGGCAGTGACCCAAGGCGCCCATGGGAGCAAGGATAGTCAAACTGAGGGCATGGAGGAGGAGGTGGCAGTGAGGCTGCTCCGTTTCGCCGACAAGCAGGAGGCCAGAGAGGCGATGCAGGCGTTCGCAAGAGAGGTGGATGTTCTCCTGCGCGTGCAAGATGTGCAGCACCACCCGCACATTATCCGCCTGGTGGGCCGCTACAAGGACCCCCTCTCGGCTTCCCTTGCGCTCGCATACGAGTTCATGCCGGGGGGCAGCCTGCAGGAGCAGCTGCTGATGGCCAAGCTCTGGGAGACCAAGGTGGCTCGTTACTTCGGTCCAGAGGCTTCCAAAATGACTCATGCTGAAGCCGCAACAGCAGCAGCAGCAGGAACACTTTCGTTACCCCTGCCTCCTTCTCCCGCGCGCTCTTTCCCTCCGCCGCTCCCCCTCCACCTCTCCTGGCGGGACCGGAATGTGCATCGCAGCCGAAATCGGCTCGGCCTTGCTCTGCCTGCACCAGTCCCACCCGCCCATCCTCCACCGCGACCTCAAACCCGACAACATTCTCCTCGACCAATCACGCACCAGCAAACTCGCTGGCATGGGGCTGTCCTGCGTTGTCCCGTCCTCCTCCTCCTCCTCCTCCTCCTCCTCCTCCTCCTCCTCCTCCTCCTCCTCCTCCTCCTCCTCCTCCTCCTCCTCCTCCTCCTCCTCCTCCTCCTCCTCCTCCTCCTCCTCCTCCTCCTCACATCCCGTGGTCACGGGGGACGTGCGTGGGACGCCAGGGTTTGTCGACACCGAGACGATTCTTTTAAAGACCACGACAGTGAAAACAGACGTGTATGCGTACGGGATGGTTCTCATGCTCCTGCTCACCCGCTTTCTGGAGGTCGAGGATGTGATTGGGTACCTTCACTTCATGCCCTCGGAAATCCGATGGAACCCTGCGTGTGCTGCTGCTCTTATTGCGGGGTTGGAGGGCAGAGGTACTGGCAGTGGCAGTGAGATTGACGACCACATGGGTGGCGTCAGCAACGGAGGTGTGGGGCAGTTGGATCCGTCAGCAGGGGAGTGGGATGTGGGGTTGGCACACCGGCTGCTGGTGGTGGCGATGAGGTGCCTGGAAAGGACGTCAGAGCGATGGCCGTACATGGAAGAGGTGATGCACGCTGTGGGCGCAGTGGCTAGGGATGCTGCAGCCTTGGGGGCAAAAGGAGTGGAGTGAGACAGGTGCGATGCTTTGGCTGGACTCACATGCATCTGTTGGTGCTGCTGCCGAGCCGATGCTGCCGGTGCTGCCGGTGCTGCCGATGCTGCTGGTGCTGCCGATGCTGCCGATGCTGCCGGTGCTGCTGGTGCTGCCGGTGCTGCCGTGCCGGTGGTGGCGATGAGGTGCTTGGAAAGGACGTCAGAGTGACGGCCGTACATGGAAGAGGTGATGCATGCCGTGGGGGCAGTGGCTAGGAATGCTGCAGCCTTGGGGGCAAAGGAAGTGTAGTGATACAGGGATGACATGGTGCTGCTGGTGGGGCTCAGGTGCTTGGAGAGGGTTTTGGAGAGACGACGTACATGAATGAAGTGATGCATGCTGTGGGGGCAGTCGCTCGGAATACTGGAGGCATGAGGGCCCAAGTGGAGTGAGGCAACGGTGGAGATGTATTTTTGACAAATGCATGGGTCGGCAGACAAGAAGGGGATTGAGTTTGTTTACAGGCTAGTACAGAACAAACAATTACGTGATGAACCTTGTGTTGCAGTTACTGTAGTAAGCGGAATGTTGGCACTTCAATGCTCAGGAAATTGCTAGAATATTATGTGTTGTAGAGGGATTGTGTGATGTATTTTTTAAATGATGAGACTCAGAGAAACATTGTCTGGGCAACCAGATGGCTTTGCCCTGAGATGAGAAGCGCACCAGTTTGTGCTCAACCATCATTCCTATTATGTATAAGTGAGTGTTCTGTTTCTTGGTCGTGGTGGTTGTTCCGGGACAAACTGTAGCGTGTCCTGCTGAATTGCACGTTGACTCAGTTTGTGTGTCTTTGCACTTTGCGCTGACCAGAATATTGACTGCGTCGCAGATATTCAACGTCGATATGTGGAGCTTCGTCTCCAAACCTTTACTTGAGGTTCGGAACATCCTGAGGAGCTACGGGGTTTTGATCTAAGCCAACCGCGTTGCTGAACGACGTGACGAACCTACCTCGTCAATAAAGCCTTGTTGACCGGTCTCTTTCACTGCGGCTCGACATGAGAGGCAGTTTAGTTTTAGATAAACAGCCATCGTTCTGCATGTTCCATTCATCACCGGCTAGTCAGCTTCTTGTTCAACAAGCCCCCCAGCTCTAGAATCCCGATTCATACATCAGCTCGTGCACAGCACTTCCAAGCTCCAACTAAAACTCACACCTAGTTTTCCTTTCACCCACAGCCATGGCCGTCACCAGGCTTTTCCTCGCGTGCATTCTCCTCCTCGCAGCCACTTCCGCCTTGGCGCAGCGTGGTCCGCCTGGCGGAAGCCGTCCCGGCGGCCAGGGGCCCCGGGGGCCGCGCGGAGGCCCCGGAGGGTCCAGTGGGCCCGGCGGCGCATCTGGCGGACCTGGCGGGCCTCCGGGGCCGCCTGGCGGGGAGCCGCGCGGTCCTCCGCTTAACCTGACGGCCGTCGGGAATCTGACGGCCGACGTTGGTGCGCGATTGGCCAACTGCTCCGCGGATCAGGAAATCTTCGACGGCCGCTTCCACCTCGCCATTTTCAAGTAAGCGACGTTTTTCCACACAGATTACCGCATCCTCAAGGTTCGGATGATTTTTCTGTTCATCGCACAGCAGCTCCAAGCGAATACGGTCGTTGTTCCCCTCGCCTCCCTCCCCGTCATTCGCTCATCTCCTTCCTCCACCCACTCTTTTCCCTTCCGTCGCTCGCAGAAACTCCACCGGCAACTACAATCTCGTCGTAGACGCTCTCCTAGTCGGCGCCGCCAGCGGCCCTCCTGATTCGCTCGCGATCGTGAAGGGCGCCGTCTGCGACTCCTCCGCTTCCGCCGCCCTGGCGCTGCCTGTCTCCGCATCCGACTGGCAGCAGCGCGCGGGATGGTGGCTGCTGCACGCGGAAGCGCGCCTCGACGCGTTCCTCGAAAACGCGGACGCCGGCACCGTCGAGGCGCTCCTCGCCGTCGTTCCGAACGCGACACTTCCGCAAGGCGGCGGGCGCGGCGGCAGCGGAAGCGGCGCAGGGGCCGCGGGGAAAGGGCAGGGCAGCAAGCGCATGGGGCTGGGGGAGGGGAGGCTGCTCCTCCGCGCGCTGACCTCCGCCAAGAAGGGGGGACAGCAGCAGGGAAGGCAGCCGCAGGGGAGCCAGCAGCAGCCGCCGCCTGCAGGTGGACTTTCAGGTGGTTCCCCAGGTGCTGGGCCGATCGGCGGGGTGAACAGCACAGTGACCGGATACGCCGTGCTGGCTGGAAGTTCCGCGTCGGGGGTGACCTGGGGTGGGCAGCTGATGGGGGTGAAAATGCCCGCCGCTCCTTCGACTGCTTGATTGATCGTTACGGGAATGAGGAGGATTCGCTCAAGCTGAGTGAGTCCACGCCTAGGTGCAGTAGCGAGTCTTTAGTCCTTTCAACATGTGGCCTGTGACATGCGGAGCGATTGCGAGTCGGCGACCTGGTTCTGTTGAGTGCTAGGCGCCGTATTGGCAGCAGGCTTTCGGGATCAGGGGTAGGAATGCTGGCAAGCTACGGTACCACGTGCCTTACCAGTCTTCCTACCCTTGAATGATGTTTCCATGGATGAATAGGTGTGGTACCGTAATATGTTTTTACTGAGTGTTTGTGCTTCTTAAAAGTGATGTTTTCCCGTTTATCAGCTTTTGTTTTGCGCAAAGATAACTGAGCGGTTTCAACGACGCTTCAGTGGCAGCGGCAAGGTAACGCGAGCATCAAGTGGGAGCATTCGACCCGGTAGACCACCGGGGAAGGGGGACAATGATCAGTGTTGTGAAGCTGTTGATCGCATTCATACTTCTGCGAGGAACAGGGAGTTTGAGAAGGCCGCGCACGTTGGCAAGAAAGGAAACATGGGTAGCAACTGGCAAGGTTGACAAATAGCTAGTGAGGTAAAACGACCTAGCTCATGGGATCAGTTGGCCAGACTACGACGCGACACGATCTACGCATGCATACCGCGGTCCGCGACCACCAAAATATAACTACGGCGCGACCAAACAAAAATATGTCGCAGGTAGCGGGGTTTTATGTCGCTGCCTTGCATTGCAATGAGTGGTAGGTGAGGGGGCGAGCACAAAATGTGACACGAGGAATTCTGCGGCAAGTTACTTCCTCGCCTCGCGTGTCGTGACGCGTCCTTGCCACCATCTCGACCTTATCCGTTCGCGTTAGCTCAATCCGTACCTGCCATGTGGCAGCCGTAGGGTCGAAAGAATTCAAGCACAAGGATCGCAACATAATTTATGGGCATTTATCTTTGCGGTAACACTCATGGAGCTCAATCGCACCCGAGTTAAACCACGTGTACATTTCGTAACAAAGGTGTCATGTCCTCGCCACTGTGGTAACCATCATGCCTAGATGGTCAATATTTTTGCCTGCGTAGTAATGAACAGTGCATCTGGAATTCCTGGTGTGAAACAATGAGAAGAGGAATGAAATGACTAAGTCAGAAATTGGTACAAATAACCAACCCTAGGAATCTGTACCCCATATGTGCTACCCCACTATAGCCTACAAACATGTATCAGCTATAATGTTCTGACACACCCCCATAGGCAAAGTGGGGGAGAACAAGGGGTCACAAGACCAGTCAAGCAAAGCAAAGCAAGCTCAGGGTGGATCACAAAGTCACCACACAGTCCGAGCACAAGAGCAGGGCCAGAGGCCAGTTCACATGCAGGAGTACAGACATATATATAATACTAGACAAGCAAGAGCAGGTATATATATATGTCACAGTACAAGTGAAGTCAGGAAGAGAGCAAGTGAGGCAAGACAGGCACAAGACCCAGCTGGGTACAGAAGCGCTGATGGTCACAAGGCGCGAGTGCCTTGGTGAACACATCAGCAGTGTTGGCCTCAGAGGCCACGTACGCAAGTCGCAGCTGACCACGCTGCTGCAGCTCACGAGCAAGGAAGTAGCGAAGAGCAATGTGCTTCGTTCTGTGCTCCAGACGCTGCTCTCGACACAAGGCCAGCATGGCCTTGTTGTCTACGTACAGCACTGGAGGAGAACGAGGCGGCTCTCCAAGGTCAGTCAGCAGGTAGGTGAGCCAGCGAAGCTCCTGTGCAGCCATGGCCCCGGCGTAGATCTCAGCCTCACAACTGAAGCCGAGAACCGAAGACGAGCGAGTAGACCGCCACGAGACAGAGCCGGAACCAAGGCTGAAGGTGTAACCCTGTGACGACCGCTGCGTAGCCTGGTCGTCAGCCCAAGAAGCGTCCGCGTGGCCCGTAAGGACCACTGGACTCCGCCCTCCAAGCACTAGCCCCATGCCCGACGTACTGCACAGGTAGCGCAATACCCTCTTCGCTGCAGCCATGTGCTCAGGTCGGTGTCTCCCAGGAGCAACATAGCGTGCAAGGATGCTCAGAGGGTATGCAAGGTCAGGTCGTGTGCAGGTCATCAGGTACATGAGGCAGCCAACAAGCTCTGCATACGGGCCACTCGACTCTACGGACTCATCCGAAGGCAGAGCTGAGAGCGAGTGGCGAGTAGGCAGAGGAGTGGCCTGAGGCGAGGAGTACGTGAAGCCGAAGCGCTGAAGGACCTGCTGCACCATGTGTGACTGAGTCAGGGTAATGGTGCGGCGTGCTCTGTCCCGAGTGATCTGCAAGCCAAGGTAGCTGCGCAGTTCACCCAGGTCTGTGCACGTGTGTCTCTTCAGCAGCTCGGACTTCACGTAGGCGAGTCCAGCAGTGTCCGCTGTGGCAAAGACCAAGTCGTCGACATACACGAGGATGTAGAACGGCGGCAAGGAAGTGTCGGTGCAAAGAAACAGCGACGGGTCAGCAGTGGAAGGAGCAAACCCAAGAGCCGCAAGCGTAGTCCTCAGTGTGTCGTGCCACTCACGCGGTGCCTGGCGGAGACCGTAGACTGGCCGTCGGAGGCTCCACTGGGTGCCAGGAGGGAAAGTCCCAGTGAATCCAGGCGGACGGCGCAGCCAGATCTCCTCGTGCAGGCTACCCTGCAGGAACGCAGTGCTGAAGTCGAGAGAGTGAAGCTCGTAGTCGCGCTGAGCGGCAACGTGCAGCAGCACCCGAAGAGTAGTCATCTTCGGAGTGGGAGAGAAGGTCTGAAAGTAGTCAACTCCCTGCTGCTGACTGAAGCCACGAGCGACGTAACGCGCCTTGAAGACAGGCGGAGAGCCCGGCGGCCGCTTCACCCTGAAGATCCACATGCCACTGACGATGTTCGCCCCAGGAGGGGGAACTGCGTCAACGTAGGTGCCTGTGGACTTCCAGGAAGCCATCTCTGCATCCATAGCTGCCTGCCACTTAGAGGAGTAGGGACCCTCTACAGCCTCCGCGTAAGAACGCGGAGTCGGGATGTCTAGTGCATCCGGGTCTCCCTCAGGGGCAAGCAGTACAGACGCGAGATGAGGTGAAGCAGCCGCTAGACACTGTAACTCCTCCTGCCTGTCCTCTAGGACGTCCGTGCCAAGAGCACACTCACCCCCGACGGACGGAGGACAGACAGACGCAGACTCAGCAACAAGACTAGCAGCGTAGTCTAAGCGACAGCGAGCAGCAAAGTCGACAAGCTCAGTGAGTAGGGCAGACGCAGCAGAAGACTCGAAAGAAGGGTCAGTGACCACAGTAGCAAGGAAACGCGTGACAGTAGGACTGGCAGCACGCAGAGAGTCCGACGCAGGGTCGGCAAGCGCAGGAAGAGAGGACGCAGGAGGAGAAGGCAAAGGGGCACGCAGAGGAGCAGTGGACGGACGCAAAGACATCTGGTGCGTGCCAGGGACAGGAGGAGGACGCTGACGCGAACCGCGACCAGTAGCGCGAGCAGGACGAACAGGCGACGCAGGACGAGACGCAGGCTCACGACGCTCAGCAAGACCTCCAGTAGGACCAGTGTAAGGAGAGGGAGCAGGTAGCGGAGAGGAAGGCTCCAGCAGGGACTGCGACTGGACAGGCGGTGGACTCTCTACTGGAGGAGAAAGACCAAGAACCTGCTGCAGGAGCGGAACGAAGTACGGTCGAGGCCGCTCAGCAGCTCCAGGCGCAGCAGGGACAGCTCCAGCACCCTCAGCGACAGCACCAGGGCCACCAACTCCTCCAGCAGCAGGACGAACAGCAGTAGTCTCAGCACCAACACCCTCAGCAGCGCCAGCTCCAGGAGGACCCGCAGGCCCAGCAGCTCCGGGACCGGCAGCACCAGCACCCCTGTCAGTCGAAGAAGGTCCAGCTCCAGCTCCAGCAGCACCCCCAGACTCAGCAGCACGCCTCCAACGACGAGCGAACCACTCGCGCAGCTCCTGTGGAGAGAGAGGCTCCCGGGGAGGCTGAGCAGCAGGAGAAACCCCAGGCGCAGCAGCTCCAGACGCAGCACCCCCAGGCTCAGCAGCTCCAGACACAGCACCCCCAGGCGCAGCAGCTCCCAACTCAGCACCCCCAGGCTCAGCAGCTCCCGACTCAGCACCCCCAGACCCAGCACCTCCAGTGACAGCACCCCCCGGCGCAGCACTCCTAGGCTCCGCACCCTCCGCACTAGCACCCCCAGGCTCAGGACCCCCAGCAGCAACTCCTCCAGGCTCAGCACCCCCGCGGACAGCACCCCCAGAGTCAGCACCCCCAGGCTCAGCACCCGCAGCAGCACCAGAGTCACCAGTAACCTCGACCGGGTCAACGGCGTCTACCTGGGACACACCTGAGGGAGCAGGAACCCGAGGGGGAAGGGGGTCTACCGGGGGGGGAACCGGCACAAGGAAGTCCGGGGGAGGGGGGAGGGAAGGAGTGCGGTAGGGGAAGAGACGGTAGAAGGGGACCGACTCGTCGAACGTGACGTCCTGGGAGGACAGAACACGACGAGAGGAGGGGTGGTAGAACTGCCACCCTGGGGCGTCAGTGGGGAAGCCAAGGAAGACACAGGGAGCAGCACGAGGGGACAGCTTGTCCGCAGACAAGTCGCGGACAAACGCCCGAGATCCCCAGACACGAAACACAGACGCATCGCCAACCTTCCCCGTCCACAGCAAGGCTGGGGACATCGCAGGCCTAGAGACCCGCGGGTGAAGGTTGAGCTGATGCGCCGCGTACCTCACCGCAAACGGCCACAGGAAATGGGGGGCAGCCGCATGCATCATGGACGTACGAGCGACATCCATGACCATGCCAATGCGGCGCTCAGCAATCCCATTTTGCTGTGGTGAGTCCGGAAGCGTGAAGGTCTGGCGGATCCCCCGTGCACGACAGTAGTCTCGCAGAAGACGAGAGGAGAACTCTCCGCCTCTGTCCGAGTGCAGACGCAGAACAGGAAAGTCAGAGCCGAAGCTCTTCCTGAGCTGGAGACGAGCCTCGC